AGGGCAAAAATATTTTAAGTCAAATGATAGCGATTGCTGTATGAGTCGTACGATTTTTGAATCAAGCACGGGCAACGCCGAGCCATGCTGCTAGTTAATTTATAAGATTAGTAATTTTAGAAGTTTTCTCCAAGAGGCACTTGATAAGATATGAATGTTATCGTGGCACCTTTACAGATTCGAAACCTGATCGTCGTATTATGAAAAACGATCTGACCTACATGGACCCATGAAGTGATGACGGCCAGCATTAGATATTATTATTAAATCGAAACTTGCTCAGAAATGTCATCATATGGCATTGGATTGGTACTTGAAAGAGAGCATTTCGTTCCCAGAGGATTCCACTGTTTGAAATGGCAGGCATTATCAATATGTGAAATCTGTAACAGAAGATGTCGGATATATGTATACGTTTTCTTATTTTTGGGGAAGGGGTGAATTTATTTATTTTATTTTGACTTAATTGGAAAATAGCAGAATAAATCAAATAACATAGGCAATTATCAAATCACTCATCTGTGAAAATGTGTTTATTTTATTTAATTTAAAAACTTTTATTTTTTTCTGGGTGGGTCAGATTAAATGGTTATGCCCCGACTGGAGTGGAACCTTAAAATGTGACATTAAAATATGTGCGTATATATATATATGGCACGGTGGAGTAATGGATAGCGGCTTGGATTGAGGAATCGCAGAGCCTAGTTGGAATCCATTACATTACGTGCTAATACCCTTGGGAAAGGTCTGAATCCTCTTCCTCTCCCTCCAGCTATGGGTAAAATAGAAGGACAGACTGGGTTCTATAGCCTTGGATGGCAACTGGTCTAGTAGAAGGACAACTCTGAATTCAAAACCTGCGGAGGGTCGTTTGGGAACCTTGTGGCATTCGGTGCACCAGGTCTCTGTATTCGTCCCTTCAAAAAGTGTGGATGGTCCTGCACGATGCCTTCACCCCTATAATCAAATCTCAGGTGCCGGTGTCGGGCTGTCGGTTTCCTGAAACTGATCTGCTTTGACCCTCATACGAGAATCTCTCGATTATATATATATATATATATATATATATATATATATATATATATATATATATATATATACATACACACACATACATAGGTACACTCATATATATATATATATATATATATATATATATATATATATATATATATATATATATATATATATATATATACATATAATATTAGTGGTAAATATACACATACATATGCAATATATATACATAGTTACATACATGTATATTTTTTGAATAAAAAATTTCCAAGAGGATAGAATCCAGGTAGAACTCAATGTTCAGGACAGAGTAAGGATATAATAAAAAGGCTTAAACACTAATATTCCATGGTCATAATTTATTCTATGGGAATCGTAAATACGATCCAATTCATCAGACCTACAAATTCCAAAAGAAAACAGAAAAGAAAACAGAAAAGAACTACAATATCTGTTTTCTTTTTAATTTTGTAGGTCTGATGAATTGATCGTATTTACGATTCCAATGGAATAAATTTTGACCATGGAATATTAGTGTTTAAGCCTTTTTATATATATATATATATATATATATATATATATATATATATATATATATATATATATATATATCATAATTAAGTAATTCATCGAGTCGAGAAAAAACCTCAACAGAAGTAAGGTTTCTTCTAGATTCGTTAACTGTTCGCGTTTTAATTCTCGGTAGTGGATGCGCACACCTAATGAGTCCCAAATATAGGAAGAAACGGTCGCCCAGTGATTTCTATATTCTGTCTTTTGGACTCGATAAATTACTTAATTATGACATATAGATAAGAGAAAAATTACAGCTGCATTACATAGTTATTCATATAAGTTTACGACTTACAATATATTAAATATACATGTTATCCCTCACCAGTAGCACGACTCGGAGTTTCATGCTCAAGGTAATCTTCAGATGCTGAGTGTTGAATAATTGTTACGTAATTTAAATCTTAATAAAAATATCTGATTACCGCGATTTAAAAATACATTTGTCATTTCTGCAATCTGTTGAGGTTTTTTCTAGACTCGATGAATTACTTAATTATAATTATCTCAAATCCTCCTAATGATTTCTATCACTTGAATTAGGTTGGTGCAAAAATAATGACGTAATAATGTCGTTTTTTGACGTATTTTTAACGTTAAAAATACGTCAAAAAACGACATTATTACGTCATTATTTTTGCACCAACCTAATATATCCTTGCTTGAACCGGCATCTAATGCCCTGGATAGAGCAACTTGGGGACAGTAGTCCTGGCTCGGGTTGGGGGCGCAGTATTGTGGGTAAGGAGAAACTCGGATGTGTTCCACCACGGAATATGTGATCGAGCGACGCTAAATCGTCACCGAGTCCCGTTGGTACAGTTGGCATGACGTTTGCTTAATAACCTAACTGTCCGGGTTTCAATTCTCGGTAGTGGATGCGCACAGCTGATGAGTAACAAATATAAGACGAAACAGACGTCCAGTGCATTCTGTTGAGGTTTCTATCAGACTCGATGAATTACTTGTGATTAGCACTATTCCTCTTAATAATTTATATATATATATATATATATATAGTGAGAGAGAGAGAGATTTGAGGATAACGTTTTTGTGTCAGTATCCAATGCAATGTCGTGTAATTTGAATAATGTCTATTTAGGCAGCAAGTATTCATCCAGACAAGTTTCATTAAATAGACGCGGCAAGGTCTGTCTGCTAAACACTTTTAAGTGTTTTCTCTGACCACCGTTTTACCAGTGGTAGAGAAAAATAACTTAATGCCCAGGCACCGGCTGAAAGGTGGGTGAAAAATTGCGTCGTGTTTTGCTATTAAACGATCTGCTTTAACTGGATTATAACCTAATCATTTGACCCACGAAGGAAAATGATTTGTTTTATGCAAAAATGATCTATATTTCAGTATAATCTCATTTCTTGTGGAACCATTACACCAACAATTTTCCATCAGATTACGAACCTATTGATACAGGATACACATATACGTGTATATATATATATATATATATATATATATATATATATATATATATATATATATATTTCATTTCAACATTTGGAAGTAAAGTCTGATGATCCAGAACCCTTTAAAAGGGCTGTGGTGAAATAATTTATTACATGGAACCTTAAAGTGTTCTGTTTTTTTTATTCAAACAAATATACACACACATATATATATATATATATATATATATATATATATATATTAATACGTATGAATGTATGTATCCATATATATATATATATATATATATATATATATATATAT